CAGGATCCTTGCTGTTCGCTAGCAGTTTCTTTACTTGTTATAGGGGCTGTAAGCGAACAGCATGGATCCTGATCAGACTGCGCGGATGCGCAGGCTGGTCTGGATCGATGCTGGTCGCAAACCCATTTTGTTGGTTCTGTCGTGACTCGGCTCATATGGAAAAAGCTATGACCAATTACCCAATCCCCCATGGAGCCCAGCCTTTTTTACGCCAGGACAATGCTTGTATAAACTTGGTTAAGGTATTCATACCAAATGTGTAAGCATTATCCCTTGTGTTTTTAAAGATGTTTACAGTTATATATATTAACAAAAAAAAGAAAAAAAAAGAAACTCACTGACTTCCCTGGGAGGCCACATTTAGACCCCAGAACTGTAATTGAACACGCTTGGTTCACATTTAGAGGATAAATGAGCCGCGTCACGACCAAACCAACATAATGGGTTTGCAACCAGCATGGATCCTGACCAGCCTGCGCATCCGCGCAGTCTGATCAGGATCCATGCTGTTCGCTTACAAACCTAATGACAAGTAGAGAAACTGATAGCGAACGGTATGGATCCTGATCAGACTGTGCAGATGGGCATGGTGCTCTGGATCCATGCTGTCGCAAACCCATTATGTTTGTTTTGTCGTGACGCGGCTCAAAAAGACTTTATCATAAAATTACAAATACGTACCTTAAATATATGACATAACTATAACATCTTACTAAAACAAAAAACAAATAACCTTTCCGGAGTAAAAATTGAGAAACGTATTACATGTATGCGCTGGTTCAAACTATGTTTAATGTAGAGGTGGTGACGTGCCATTTAATTAACATGTGTCATGTATTGTGTATCTGTTTATAGTCAATGTTTATAAAATGCTTCATTTTAATTACAAAAATAATCTTATTCCAGAATAAAAACAATTCATGTTAAATATTTAATTAATGTTGATTTATTTATATCAAATATTTTATTCGATTAAAAGAAAATATAAGAATCGTGTTCACTGTCAATAATCTATTTCAGTTCTTACATATGCATGTATAATAAAATAATAATTAAAGATTAAACATTCAATATAAAATCTCTTACCTGTGAAATATTTCCGTATCCTTGTCCAACTTTTATATTAAGATCCGTAAAAAACTTGTAAAAGACTTCAATGAATTAATTATATCAGTTATTTTTTTAAATCTATAATCAATTGTCAATTAATGTTTTAATTGGAAACGTATATTACATGTATGTCCTAACTGAGGACTATAATATAGTTCGAAAAACCGCCATTTTGTTTCTAAATGTCCATACTTAAATTGTTTTGTTTATTTAAAATTATTGAAGTAATTTCTTCAATTTATTTCACAATGTTTTTTTCTTGTCTATTCTTTGCTTGGTTTTATTGTTTTGAACTCAAATGGCTGCATAGACCCGCCCTCTTCTTGTATCACATGAAAAGTTTGTGATCTCCGAATATTTTCTCTAACACGGTCATATTCTGTTTCCGGTTTAATGGCTTTCATCTGTACTGTCACTGACTGCGGCAGATTTTCAAGCACTGTAATAAAGTTCTGTAAACTTCCTCCAGACATTTCTATATTACACAACTCCACACGTTCAATATTCAACATGTCACATTTCAGTACCAATGAACATTCATCTAAATTGATTCCCCACAACGTAACATCAACTAACGACGATGTTGATATATTTAATTGTAGACTCCCAGGTAATTGCCACAAGTCTAACTTTGATAGAGTTGAATGTTGAGACAAGTCCAAGTTCCATCTCTTACAATCATGGCCGCCATGTTCTTTACAGTCTAAACACGCCAATGTTAACTCTTTCATTGATTTTTGACCTGAGATAAAATTGAAAATTGTTTCCAGTATTTTGTGAGATAACGTGAAGTAGTTAATATATAAATATTGTAAGTTTTGACATCGCGCCATGTTTTCACTTAGATTTTCTTCATCATTTGTCAATTTACCACACTGCAAATTAACGGACTGTAAACTGGGAAACAATATCCGACTTATCTGAGCCTCGTTCTCCTCGTCACCCCAATAGTAAAGTTTCTGTATATGACTGAGATCTGTGAGAGAGAATAAATCTATAATTTCACGTAAACAGCTGGAAGTATTTCTGGTGTTTATATAAAGTGATTTCATGTTGGTTTTATTTTGTTTTAATAAACGTTGTAACTGCACAATATGCACACCGGTGTCCTCGTCAATGAAGAAATCTTGTAAACATAATTGACTATTTTCACTTTCAGGCATTGCTTGTAAACACGACATGAACATTTTCTGTATGTTATACAATGGAGAACTATACCAGTACTCGACACCTGTCCTAGTTCTATAGTCGCGTGTTTTCTCGTCTTCATTTATCACAGACATCAAATCATTTGATATTGCACACATCCGGTCAGCATTCATTTTACTTATAAATTCACAAATTGTTGACATATCCAGAATGTCTTGAACATTTCTACAGTTTTCTACAACAATTTTATGAGCGTCACTTTGTGAACTTATAAATATGGCAGCAAAGAATTCTTGCACTGTTTTGTGAGAAAACGATACTTTGATAATTTCTGTGACTAAAGTTTTACTTCTACTTTCTGACAGTATTCCTGAGAGAAGACTTAACTTTATGTCGTCTGATTTGAGATATTTTTCAGCAACAGTTCTATCAAACACAAGCGTGTTTTCTCTCCTGTCGTTAAACAACATTTGGTAAGCTAGTTCTGCTAATGATGTTATAAGACTGTAAAACCTTTTACAAAATGCATGACCTTTGAAGTAATCTGGAATTTCACTGGTAGACGATTCACGAGATGGTTGAACTTCCGGGTGTTTCTTTGAAGTTCTCGATAATAGAAATTCAATGATATTGGTGTAAATTTCATGTTTTGATTTTCCTATAGGAATATTGTTACACCACAGGCAAACTATATACATGAGGAGAAGTGGAATCACTTGCATGTGCTCTAGGCGACGGTCACGTATCATTTTATTAAAGTCCTGTGTTTTACTCTTCAATACTTTATTGTTATGGACACCGGTCATTTTCCTAATAGCATTTTCTTCTAGTTGCCGCGTAGAATCTGCACTTAATTCAACCAATTCTACTTTTTTGTTTATTTGACTTGTTTTGATATTTGCCACTCCAAGCTTCCATGGTCGGGTTGTCGTTAGGATAACACAATTATCACGTATGTACCGATGTGGGATTTTTTCTTTAACTTCGCTACATCTATTATCAGGGTGAGTCCATTCATCAAGACCGTCCAATACAATCAAGCATTTTTCTCTGCGTAAAACTTCGTCTAGTAATGTTGATGAAGGAAGTTTCTCAGAAATTTGCTGTTCAATCATATCGTCAATGTCACAAACAGAGGTACAGTCTCTTAATAAAACCAAAAATAAGAACTCAAAGTCAAATAACGTTTTCAACTCGTCGTCTTTAAAACAGTCGTAGTTTTCATCGTGACAATGAGCTTGACACCACATGATTGCAAGATATTTTGAAAAAGCAGTTTTTCCAAAGCCTGCGTCAGCTAATAGATAAATTTCTTGCTGATCTGCACTTCCGGTTGAAAACAGGTCTTTCAATGACTTTACCGGTGTTCTTTCCTCTTCATGACATGTTAGGGACTTCTGTTTTACGGCGACCATATCTGGCATCACGTAGAACCCAGCTAAAGGTGTCTCTATTTCTTCAAGAAGCGGTGAGAGAGGTATTGAACTACACCATTTTCTGTAGAATTTAATCAAGTCGCCTTGAAGTTCTGAAAAGAGAGCGGAAAAAAATGTTAATCAGTGACAATTATTCTATATAATATATAAAATGCTGAGGTGTTTAATAACTTTAATTTTGCATGGTTTGGATCAGATAATTCATACGGCGAATAAGAAGTAGATATATAATTATGTAGCACAATATTCAGATGCTATGTTTAACTTTGTCAATGCATAACTGCAGCTAAAATCTGTTTTAATAATTGCATAAATTAATTTACAAAACGATTGTTTTCATTGTTATATTTAATACATAGTATAGTTGAAAATAAACATTTTCCTTCTCCAAAACATACGACATGATTTTATTTCTGATACAAAACTATTATTTATTCTGGTTTGGACCCTAAGCTGAACAAGAAAATATTTCAACAATAGTTCATTGCATGAACAGACATCAAGATCGATATATGTTTCACATGTTTAAACCGTTTTAAAATCATAAATTTTACAATAAAAATATGTAAACAAATCGCTATCACGGAGGGGAAATAAGAAGGGGCAAATTTTACTTGAAACAGGAAGTAATTTCTCCTGATATCTCCATCATTATAGTTTAGCCTAATCGGAATTTCTCGGCTATTATTCCTAATAACCTCAGACTAATTGATTTTATTAACCTGTTGCACACAATATATAGATCTTCGATAGATTTTCGGCAACGCTCGTGAGGTGTTCACTATAAAATGAGTTTAAATTTGTTTGTTTCTGTAAAATATTAAAACTGAGCGTTTAAACGCAATATGGAGAACTGATAACTTGTTTGTTCTACATTTTCGCAAACACTTGGCAATTTTCTATTAAAGAATACTACAAAAATAAAGAAAGATAAAGTATAAAAGGCAATCACTTCACCGGATGTAATTGAGTTGTTATTAAAATTGGTTATTGAATATTTCCATAATTTGAAACACATTATCTTACATTCTTGACGAAACCACAGCTGTTTATTATTATATGGGACAAGAAGAAACCCATTACCATTACCAAGTAAGATCTGTACGATACTGAACGCCCCGAGGCTGACAGTATGTCAGCAAGCTATAAATTTGACATACGGAAATTCAAGGAGTACAGCGTTGAACAATAAATCGGGCGTCCCGGGTTCGATCATGCAATCCTTTCTACGGTCATTCGCACTGTACCTTTGCTCTGGCACGTACATAAGTTTCAATTCCCTGCGAAAGTGAAGGCAACTAGTACTAGTAAACTGCTTGACAGCCTGCCAAGGAACGATGTGGTGGTTGAATAGTGCTCTGGGGAATTCAATGTGGCTTATTGTCGTGATCCGGAGTGAAAACTACCAACACCACCACCTCTAGCTTTTATAAAGTACAAAGTAACACCCCCTTCTCGTACTCATATCATCTTCTTCTACTCAAGCATAAATTAGACTTTTACTTCTTTTCAGAAAACGCCTTTCAAATACAATTACAGATAAGATGTTTTAAATTATTTTAAATATTCATTTATATTTTTTTATACTATTAAATAAAAAATTGTTCAATAGTGACCACAAAAAACTGTGTATTTTCGTTTTCAGTATTTTAACTGTAAAAATGTATTTTTCACTGCAGTGAAACATATTTCCCGCATTTTCACTTTCTTTTAAATTCATCCAATACACCAACTTTAAGGATGAGTCTTAAAATCATTGAATTTAAAGTGAAATGAATCAAATTTCAATAAACAAAAATCTTACCGTGGTTACCACTGGTATTAAATAATTTGAATGTAAAGCAGAAAATGAAAAAAAAAGAAAAACAATTTAAAATTGCGCAGACTACTGAAACAAACATGCATATCTATAAATAGAAAATGATTATTTCTTGACAGTATCAACAAAGGAAGGATCCATAATTTTAAGGTATGAGGGTGCGCAGGAACACGGTGGTGAAAATGGTGCATTCTCGAGGAAAGTGTCATTTTTTACACACAAAATCTGTTTCAGTTGCGGCAGACAATTTTATTCCACGCACACACACACACGCACGCACACACACACACACACACACACACACACACGCGCACACACACACACACACACACACACACACACACACACACACACACACACACACACACACACACACACACACACACACACACACGCACCCACACACACACACACACACACACACGTACGTGCGCGCGCGCACATACACGCACACGCAAACACAACACAACCTTATTTTTCTGATGTTGAGATTCTCAGTTTAGGAACCCAAAATATATCTTGAAACAAAGCCGTAGTAGGGCCCAGGCGTGGGGGAGGGGGGCTGGGTTAAACCTTCACATTGGCCATCCTTAAAAAATGTTTGTTTGCAGTAACCCGACCCAAACTTTCCAAGGTGGGTAGGTAGGTCGATTTTTTTATTTTATTTTTTTATTATTGAGCTGTACGCCTAACAAGACATGGAATTTCAAAATACTCGACAATATTATATATGCTTTGATCATCTGGTAACAATTTATAGATTGATAACTGAATGCTAATTTAATAAGAACAACATTTAATCACAAATATACATACACTATATTAAGCTCCATGATTTAATTTCATCTACATAGATGGGTGACGCCATCTTGAACAACATTGTGTAAAAGGCATTTTATTTTGTATGCTTCTTGGCTGAATCTTTCTTTAATATTTCACAGTCATATGACATTTGCTTCTGTGAGAGCTTAAGACAAAACTAAAATTTGGTTTTAAGGTCAATCTTTTTTTTTTGCGGGAACTCTCTGTAGAGCTTCTAATGTCAAATAAATTTCTTGTCAATTTCATGTTTTTGGAGCAATAATTAGGTCAGATTTATTTGGCAATACCCCCGCCCCCCCACTCACACACACACAACAACCATCACTCTATAACTCATAATTCCTATAATTACTTTGATCTGTTTATTATCAACAACATTAAAAATAATTTGTAAACTTACCTCAAGTCATCTGCAGAAGATAATTTGTCATTATTTCATACCCAAACCGCTGATTTGATTAGCGATAATCTTCAGATGCCGCTTGTTATTGTTTCATATTGAATATCAATACCAATTATCCATTGCATATTCAACAATCTGCCAGGTATTTTCACACCAATTAGTGTCATTTATCAGCTGATAAAAAATGTAAACAAACCGCGAGGTCAGTGTGTTATAGACTGTGTTAGGCCTACTGTTCATATGGGTAATTTCATTCGGAAGGGAAGTTACAAATATAATGACCCGCAAAAAGTAGACTGTGTCGCTGTGTTTTGAGATAAGAATCGGCAAAACGGAAGTTAAGGATGGAAAACCAGATTTTGCAAATGCTAAATTGAGACTGGAAATTTCAAAAGTCATACTTTTCGTAAGTTTGAGCTAAATTGTGATTTTCCTGAGCCAATTTAATAATTTTGGAGCCAATTTGCTTGTTGGCTCCTGTCAGCGCGAGCCCTGTCTTTAAAAAGAGCGAAAAGTAAGCACAGAAGGCATAATTTTTCCCGCGACAAAAAAAAATAATTCTCCAGACCATACAAAAAAAAGTTTGAGTCGGGCAAATTTCGTGAGTCGGTCGCGTTACTGCAAACAAACATATTTTTTAAGGATGGCCCAGTGAAGCTGCAGGATTTCATCACTTTGTAGATGGTTTTCATTATGCCGTTTTATATCAGTTTACAGTGCATAAATTTACATCTGATGCATTATTGATATGATGCATTTCATTAAAATTAGTTCTATTCAAAGGTGTAGATGCAGAGCATAAGTTATAATGTACATTGGTTAAAAAGCTAAAGCATTGTACAAATACTTTTATTAGATAACATATTTTATTAGTATAATAATTTTTTTTATTAAACAGTCTTTGATAGTGACAAAATACTCATCCACACACATGCAAATTATAACAATAAATGTGAATTTATGTGCCTCCATCTTCAATATTACTCCCTTCTTTTCGGTTGTTTTTTTTTATTCAATGTCATTGTGTTGATGTCAAGCTTACTGTTAAGAGAAGGTATCCTTTTGTTTCGGGTTCAAATGGAATACCTGAATAGAACCACCCAAAGACGTCCCATAGAATGCTGCAAAAAAATGCTTGAAAGAATCCAGTTATTTGCAATTCGAAAGCTGTGAGGACCAAGTGCATGAAAGTCAACGACCTTAAACCGGTCGACAACGGGCAACACGAAATAATTTCACATTCATGACTTAATTCATTTAAAGAAATACCAGGGGCGTAGCTAGGCCGAATCGATATTACGCACTCTCAGGCAGGGGGTTAAGGGGGCCGCTTTAGGCCCCCTTGCAGGGCAGAGCCCTGGTAGGGGTCCAGGGGGCGAAGCCCCCGGAAGCGGACTGATTTTCACCATTTAGAGATGTAAAAATTATGCATTTTCATGCCCATTTGAGGTCCATAAAATTACAAATCCATATGAAGTCAGAAGGAATTTAATATTGGCATTAATTTAACTTTTTATGTAATGATATGACTTAAATTTGTGTTAATATGTGACGTGATTTAGAGAACGTCTTAGATATAATTGATAGATCGTATAATAATATTTTAAGGTATTTGATAAACGTTATATAAGGTCATACATTGTATAAACAGACGCAAAACAAATGACGTGTACGCTTTTACTAGCCAGCAAATAAAAGTGACAAAAAAGTGACAAACACAAATTTAATCTACAACAACAACACAAATTTATCTACAACAACGTCAGCCTAGAGCAAGCACCTATGGAATCTGCAAAAGTCCTAAGCCAGAGAGGTGACCAGTGCTCATCGTTGAGGCGCTAGAAAGTCTTTAGCCTTTTCAAGCTGATAAAGGAACGTTCAGCACTTGCATTGCTTGAAGGAAAATGCAGATACTTGTTTACATTTGGAAGAAGCTCTGTCGGTATACATGTATCTTACAGCACAGATTCTATAGTGGATGGAGCCTGCAACAGTGATATTTCGCACCGTGTTATAGATTTACAGAAATTAATGTGTTCTCGTCGTTTTTAGATTTTTTTTCTCATTGAAAATATCGTTTACTAACTAAAATCTAAAAATGTTATTACTTTTTACGAAGCAATAATTATTATCTTAAATAACTTTTGTCTGCTCAATGTTCGCGTAGCAGTCGGACTTTTGGTATCATCTCTGTTGATGAAAACGGTCGTTCATGGCTGTCATTTACTTATACGGCACACAGCAAGAAAACTTGATTTCTTTTTTGAGCTAATATGCTATATATCACACTGATAAGTGTGCTTCGCATTTGTGAAAATATTGCAAATTTCTTCAGTATGATATCTAGCATACTCATTTTTATATATATTTACAATAAATTTTGGTTATTTTTTTTTTATTTTTTTCTTCTAATTTATAAGAGAGGTGACATACATAATGCCATTACAATAAATCGCATAAAAAAATATTTTATTATTACAGAGTCTATGATATATACATGTATAGTCCAGATCTCACATGAGTTGTCATTGATGTAAAATATTATGTAAAACGATTAAAGAATAAGTTACAAACCTTTGACGAGAATTTAAGAATTTTTTTAAGTAATGCCAACTAAAGTCAGTTTCCTTTTTATTACACAACAAATCGCATTCAGATTTGTATAAATAAATACAGTTAAATAAAAAGTTATATCGCCAGCACAATTTTCTTTTTCAAAGAGTTCAAAATGCAATTTTAATAATGATCACACACGAATGCAATTTTTCAGATATATTTGTGTGGGATTATATAATTGCCAATAAGTAAACTGATAAAAGTAAAAAAATGCCTTTGAGACATAAAAAATAAAATAATTCTGAGGCATACTGGGCCTTTGAGGTTATACCTTAGGAGGGTCACTGAAAAAGAAAACAACAATAACAAACACATGAAAAACGTTTTTACTGTTATTTTAGGTACATATTTTTCTTCTTGTTGCATTTTTGGCGATTAATACAGTTAAAGGGATTTAGTGTTTTTGTATGGAAGTCAAGATACTACTTTTTCGTTTACATTTTGCTACTTTTATGACAAATAATTTCACATTAAGCGCTACTTTCTTCACGTTAAAAGCATTTTTTGTAAACAAAGCTTTGAAACCTTATTAAATGTTTTAAAACCCTCAGCACACCTCCAGATTTTCATGCTTATTTTCATGAAAAATTTGAAAATGTAAATTTAACGGTTTAATATTGTAAAGTTACCCAAAATAAAATCAATTTAGACAAATTATCAAGCCCACTTCAACCTTGTAAAAATTACATGAAAGAGGTCAAAAATAATGCAAAAATAGCCCCCTTACTGCGTTCCGTAACGCAATTAAATTTATTTTATAATACTGAAAAATTGTCAACTTAATTAGCAACATAACATTGTAAAAGTTTTACTAGAATTTTGAATCTTTTACTGTTACACCCTTTCCTAAAATTTTAGTTGACACTTTTTCTCAGGTTTGATTTTATTCAAAATTAGTTTTTGCTATCATTTGGAGGGCGTTGCAAGCTTTAAAAGTTGATCTCGGATCATGTTTCTCCTTTTTAAAGAAGTAATAATATATTCATTTCTGGGGGCATAATAATTTCTGCCCGTTTTCTCGACATAATAAAACGTAGTTATAACAAGCGACGAACGTGTGATTTATCTTTCTTGCAACCCCAATGCAAACGTTTAAGCGAACACATTAAATTAATGAACAATGAAACTCTATAAAGTTTATCTCTTCCTGAGGACATTAGCTATTTGCTCGATGGGCGATGCATCATTGGCCTCATCGGCGATACAGCCAAAGAGCGGCGTTGCAGGTCTCCACAATTGTTTTGCTGTTTATCTGCCACATACAGTAACTCGCTCTGTATGTCGGGCGAAGTGTATTTCGCGCGAGCATTATCGCCTTAAAAAAACCGTATTATGGGTTTATATAGTTCTTTATGGATTAATACTCTTTACATTATATTATTATTGGAAACTTATTAGATGTACCTAATATAAATGCTTCAAAGATCTATATTTATATTAGAATCAATGATATTATTAGAGCTAGATCTATAATTATAAATGTTGGAACCATGCCTCAAAACACTCCAGCACCACCCACGCCTGTACCCTATATATTTCTCACCGTTTTTAAAATATTTGAGTTTTCGTTTTCCTGGATCAATGTTACGCACGTGCGTAGGTGCGTATAGCTAGCTACGCCCCTGAATACCATATTCCATTATATTTTAAATTCTCTACTTTAATAAAACAAAGTTATAGGATAACACCTATAAATATTTTCTTACAACAGCGTATAAAATTACAACTTCATTTATAACGGTAAATTCTAACACGAGCCGCATTTTTCCCTATTGAACATAGAAGAACCGAAAGTGTGTATTATTATGCTATAAAATCACTGTTTGACGTTCTATATTTAGATATGTGACGTAATCATTATACACGTGACGTAACTACTAAAAATATGACGCGCTGACAATAAGTACGGAAACAAATCAGGCGCAATTTAGCTAATTATCGTGGACTGCAGCATTTATTTGTTGATGTCGTGTTAGAATCGAAATAATATATCCAAATCGGTGATTTTATTGCTTGATAACATCACTGTTTGTCGTTCGGATGCGCATCATTATATCACGAGGGCGTAGTAGCCCTCGTGATATAATTCCCCGCACCCGAACTCCAAACAGTGATGTTATTGAGCAATAAAATCACTGTTTGGGATATATTATTTCTTAAATAACGTCATCGTAAGCGTGCCATTATAAAGCAAGCACTCATCTGACACCACCATGTCAATGAAATTTCGGCATAAGTAGAACTAAAGGAAACGCCAGTCTAATATGCAGGAACAACTATTCTGGTGTTTTAGTATTACAAAACTGTGTATTACAGATACAGTCACTTCGAGTGCGGTATGCTTTTGATATGGACACATTGGACTAGGAAAATAAAAACAAGGCTAGAAGGTGTACATGGATTTGATATTGCTTCGATAAAGACTTTGAATATAAAAGCTAGACTAGATGTAGAACAACATGCACTTGATACAGATTTTTGGACTCGGGAATTATGAATGAATGAATTTAGAACATCATGTGGTGCAAACCTAAAAATTCGTAAATATAGTACTATCAGTCTATCACATGGAAATCTTTATGTCATTTGATAAACAATTTTAGAATATTATTTACCACTTACTTTGTTTAGAATCAATATATTGTTCTTCTTTCTCGACTATACTTGCTGTTTTCAGTTTTTTTCCTAACGTCCCTCCTAATTCTGCCAGGATTTTTCGTTTTTTATCACCTTGATCACAAATTGTAAAAATTTCTTTGTCCCTTTCGTCATTTAATCTTTTCACGGAAGCATCAGTCATACCTTGAAGCTGTATCATTCCCTCGGCAGTTTTAGACTCAAGAGATATAAGATCTTCTTGTTTTCTTTTTATCATATCTAGTTTAATTCTGTCATATTGATCATCTAATCCAGCCTGCATCTTGTCTTGAAGCACTGTTGCCACATCTTCTAGTACTTTCCTTATATCATTTTTACCAATGACAAGTGTGTCATTTTCTAACTGTAATAATAAGGACCATACACTATACAATATGAATCAATCAGAATTTAACTTTTAAAATGATTTATTAAAAAAAAATCAATAAAGATTATTTAATCACACGAAAAACTGTGTTCTAGTCATACTACGAAATGTTTAACGTATTTAAATGTTAAAATAGTTTAATCACCTGTATCAGTTTCTTTTTAGCATTCTGCGCATGTGTGTCTGTAGATAAATACATGGTGTCAGATAGTAGTTGCTGTAATAATTTGAAGTATTTCTGAAGATCTGAATCGTCTATTTCAAGTTTTGATGAATGTCGAACATGTCTTCCAATTTCTCTTGCCTGATCGAAATAGAATATCGTTTCTTACCTTATTTCATCAAGAACATCTATAGGGTATAAAGCTTTATCTAATAAAATATTTCTATGATATTTATTTACAATAAAATTATACTGTATTCTTAATGAAAAGGTTGATTTTTAAAAGAGATGTATATTAAATATCTCTGTTATTTTACACACATGAATATTGTTCGTAAACAGAATGAATCAAATGTGCCGGAAAAAATAGAATGCCGATATCTAAAGTAGATATTTTAAGCTGCATGCCTCCATATTCTTGCTATTTGACATTATAATTTTGAAAAATGCGTTAGTCACGCAGCAGATATGTGGTATTAAATACTACAAAATCAGTTATTTATCCCACATAACATGTTGTTATTATTGAAAAATATGTTTGGCTTATCTTGAGGCATGTAGCTTTAACTATGTAGCAATGATTTCGTATAATCACCAGTTGCTTTTAAGGAAATTTAATATTTCTGTCATACAGGCATTTTAGAAACAATCGTTTCAAAATTCAGACTATAATATTTGCAGCAAATATTTAGCTTTATGCTCAGTACGTTAGTTATGAAATATGCTGTAAACTAGCATACTGTTAAATAATATTACACAATCATTCTTTACTTGTCTATTTTTCCACAAAGCATGGTAAAATCTCAATTTATTATAGCATACCGTAGTGTTCAATTCCTTAGATTGATCATAAACCTATTTTATTTATTTTTGTTTTTGTTTCATTACAAAGTACTAAACAAAAGTCTTAATATTTTTGAATAGTATCGAAATATTGTTTACCTCTTCAAACTTATTTAGTTTATTACCGAGGTTTTCATGTACTTTACCCTGGAAGTCTTTGTGATTAAGGATAACGCTAATGATACCATTGAAGTCTGTTTCTGATGCAGATGCCTTTTCTTTATACCCATCTGGGGGCATGAAGCATTTTGCAACTTCCCAGAAATTACTGCACCACTGGGTAGCATCACTGTTTTTGTACGACGGACCGTTGTATCTATGTGCATTCTGTACTTCAGTTTTGAAGTTATGACATATCTTGCTAGGACAGCCAGAGGAATTGTACCGTGTTGTGACATTTCGATGATACGTACATTTCCCACGCCAAACATAACATATTCTATTTGTAGGACACTTTACAAGATTTTCTGTACAACAAATTGAACAAGAAGTCCCACTAGGTAATCCATTTAAATAGCATATATCATGTAAACATTTCAATTGAAACTGTTTGATTTCATTGCAAACAAAAGGTTCAACTCCTTCTTTAGTAAACAACACAGCTAACTGAGCTTTAACCCAGTTATTGTATTTTTTGTCTATCAGTTTAGGGCTATATGAAGCCATTATTTTCAAGCTTTTGTCTTTAAAGCATCATATACATTGGCGCATCTTGAAAGCTCAGAGCCAAACCTGAAAAAGAATATGTAAACTTGTAAAGTCCGTAAGTACATGTTTATTATAACTTTTCCAGACGGTTTATTAACTTTTGCAAAACAATTTACTATATATATGTCGATAAAGAAAGGCTTCGCTAGGTTTTAAATATACCTCATGTACTTAGTTCTAAATAAATCCAAAAATAGCTTTTATAAACTTTAATATGGCACTGCTTGCTTCTTTTCTCTGCCTTTTTCATCTTAAAAAAATTAAAATGCAGATTTTCAATTGTGAAATTATACATAATTAGATTCAGACAAGTTGAACTTTAATTTCAAATATATGATAACAAATGGTATATTGAAATGTTCAGAGCTTGCTATAATTATCATAGTTAAAAAATCCTTGTATTATGTAGCTACACAATTGTTACACATCAAGCACATGTCATAGTTGGGTTACTATTTTTTATGAGTGTTTAATGAATACTGTGTTATCTAACTTTATATAATTCTCAAAATAATCAGACATCGATATCATTTTATTTTGCCACCGCCGAACAATCAAACCTCCTTTAAGTTAAAAAATTTGGTTGATGAAACACTTGTTTTCCACACTGTGTCAACAATACTTATCTTTGAGTTTGCAAGCAAAGTTGTTTCTCAATAAAAAAAAAACCAAAAAAACAAGATAAATCTTATAATCTGATCTAAAGTCATATCTGTTATCCGTATTTCGAGCATGCAGAAATAATAAGGTGCGGTAAAACTGTTATATGGTGACATGTTTATTAGATCTACTTTGAATTCAACATAACATTGATCACATTGTATTCTTTGAAATGAAAAATATTAATATGCTGAAAAACAAGTAATACAAAATTTTTACTTTTTAAAGTGTAAAATTCCCCTCCAATTGACATTTATTAACATCTTAATTTTTCTAATTGATCTATCTATTTATTTTTCGAAGGGAAAGGTATTAACTTTATATTGAATAAGATTGGAAAAACGATATTGTAAACAATAATCACTTAGGAGATATAATTTTCAAGTTTAAATGATTTTCGTAAAACCTGTTTATGAATTAAAGCTTTCCCAAGCTCGACTGTAGGACAATTTTGTATGTGTATTGTTTTCAAAGAAATCATACTCATTTGTTTATTTCATGATATTTAAATGAAATTATACATTTATGTATACTTGATAGTGAAATTTAAATGAAATATTTAAACAGACATTTTATTTCTTATTGAAATACTGACAAATTCGTTGAAGATAAGTTCTTGTATATAGTCTATAGTTTGTAAATAACAAGCCATAAAATGCTACTTAAACTATCAAGTCTACGCTATACTGGCTGAATAAGAGCAGACCAGACCTATGTATGCTACTTACCTATTGACCTAGCATATTATACAGGAAGAGCAAGAATACCAGGCGCAATTCAGCATTTCAACTTCTAGAGCGCAATAACATTACCTCGCAATTAAATCATTTTTGATCATTTGAAAAAAAAAAAAAAACAAAAAAAACGCGTGAAGCAATATAACGAACTTACCGTGGATTTTGTGTTTGTTGTAATAGTTGAAATGGTACAAAGATTTGAGTGTAACTGTCGCTTCAGTAGTTCTTCTTTATATTGCTATAGATTAAATTACATTTCGATTACAGAAAAAAATGTCTAGATTATTAGTTCAATGTTTTCTACGTTAAATTGTTTAAACAACACTCCATTCAATGTATTGTTGCATGATGAGCAAACAGAAATATGTCCGGACTATAATTGTGAGGCGTTTATAAACTTTCAGCAAGTTACAGATTTCATTGATCTATTAATATACATGTTTATACGAATGTGATAAAACATATTGCAATAACAAGTACATGTACTGATTTTGTATTTAACTATAGTCTGTTGGTAATATCATTCATATTTATATTTTATTCAGTTGTAGAGGGGCATTAGGCAAGGGTTAGTAGTTATATACCCAGCTACGCACCCTGCACCTATGGTCAGATCCTATTGCTTCTGGTTTAAATATCATTTTGACTGTCCTTTGAGTCATTGTTATATGCTATACACACGTGTGGATTTCTTTATTTACAGATAAGCCATACAAACCAACACGTCAATCAATGAAGATGTCATATTTCTGTTTTGCTTAACTACAAGTAGTACTCTGTAACTATTATAATTGTGAAGTCGAGTATATAATAGGAGTTAATGAGACATTGATCAATTCAAAATTGATTTGCAATATCACTTTGTTTATTTGCTTCATCTGTTTACTACTTGGTACAAAACAAAGTTTTATACATTTATATAATTTCACCGTTTCACCAGCAGTCGATCTGATGAAAACTTATTTAATATTTAAACTTCATTTATAGAAATAACACGAATAAACACGTCAGTACAGATATCATATTTCTGTTTTGCTTCGCTACAAGTAGTTTTTTATGAATAAAGTGGTTTCAAAGTTGGACATACAGATCGAGTGAATAAATAAATTTAGTGTATATTTAATGTCTGCATAATTTAAATTGTAATACAGGTTCTACACACGCGTATTAACCTTCACTTTTAATTTTCATTTTTACTGTCCCATGTGTTGATGTACTGTACGCCAATGAATTTTAAACGCGTCAGGACATTTCTACTTATTAATTACGTCACGACATATATTATTTTTCTGTTTTGCCTAACTACAAGAATATAAATATAAAGTTTTTTTTTTTCATTTCGAGCGATTAGGCATTGAGCAATAGATGTCTTTAGTCATCAAGTTTAAATGTTTTACTCATTTTGTTTTCTGTTACAAATCAATGTCCATTGTCAGGCTATTTGTCGTTATTCATACTCGGTTTATAGATATCACTAATAATTGAACACATCTATGTAGATATCTTCATTTTGCTTTGCTTTTCAGCAAATAATTATTGTAACAATATGGTAACAAGTCGGCTATTTAATTTGAGCAAATAAAAACGATATGATGTTCAAATGACGAGGTATATATTTATATAAAATGTAACTGTAAAATTGTTTACAATACAGAAATGTCTTAATTTCAAAGTTTTCATAAACACGTTATTGTGACTTATTTTGTTTTAAATTGAAGGACATGATATGTCTATTTTTGTGTATGTAAACCACACTTTGAGAACTGCGGTTATTCAATACACTACGGTCTATTGGTATGAATGTTATCTATAGAAATCAATTTTTACTCAATTTGCATCCCCAAAAACATATTATCGGAGGGATCGTGAGATTTAAAGCGTTACTAATGATAAGCATATTACCATCATATAATGTATTTAACAGGTTAACTGGATTAAGCAGTTTATCTTATTTCCTAATCACATTAACACGGACTTTATACTTGTAATATCAATTCTTTATATCTAATATGATGTATGTACAATGGCAGCATAAATGAAACAACTTATAATATCTTTCAGATTAGTTTTTGACTGTTCGAGAGACCGGGGTAACAACGCATTCAAAATTTCGCAGAATAAGAATTAATTTTTTTATCCGATTATAACATCATAACTACAGAAGGGTTATTGACACTTATGCAATTGGAGTTCCTCGCAATAATGGTAACATTTTTATATGTTGTTCCGCTGATATTTTTACTGTTTATGTAAAATGATTATGCTAAACCTTGTCACGATTTTAATTGCTTCTTCGGCCGAAATAAAACAAACTTAATAACTAACTAACTTTAATAGCAACGACTGAGATGGTAAAGAACAAAAGAAATTCTAAAAGACAATCAAAAACTTGTCTTCAAAATTAATAAAGTCAATATTTATTTCTATGTAATGTTCATTATTGACGTGGCAGAGACGAAACTAAGCAGAGGCAGAAATTGTAATAATTTATCTACAATTTGATATTACTATCCTTGATTACGAAACTTAATACTAATTCCCACTCTAAATATTCTATAATAATTCGCTCCACCTATTAATTTCTTTGTAAAGGAACCGCCACTAATTTTATGAAGAGTTTACTTAGACTTTGATAGAATGGTACAGCAGTCGCTCATATAAAAGCTATACATTTACCGAAAAGTATTGAATAAAGCCATTGTATTGTCCATATTGAAATGTGAAATATACGTTAAAGATAGCAACCATACTTTGTCTTTTTTCAACTATGATAAAATAAAAGAAAGTATGTACATGTTGTACTATTATTAAATAAAAAAAACGGAATCCCTAAAGAACGCCCAAGACGGCTTAATTGAAAATGTTGCAGGCTCAGTTTCATAAATAAAAATCTGAAAACAAAGGGATCCCTCGGAAGCATAATCACAACAAAATTACAAGAGAATTGCAGACTCGGTTTGATTGAGTCTGTACATGAGGGATAATGAAAATGTGCAACATCCCTCACGCCCCCTAGCACCGGTTTGAGCGGTACTCAATTCTCAACACTTGATAGTTCTGGCATCAATGATCCCGAAGGACCAGAAAAATATATCAACACTGAAGTGAAGTACGGGGCAACTTTGTACAGCTGCCACACAGCACTTGACACCTGCTGTTGTGAAGTGTAAAAATCTGGAAACAAAGTGATCCCTCGGAAGCATTAATCACAACAAAATTACAAAGCCTATTCATAAACAGTACTTGTGTCAGTGCTAAGTACCGTCCACACCCCCTTGTATTGGCTTCAGCAGAACTCTAAATAAGAAAGTGATACCTTTTGAGGTGGGAAACAACCGCAGATGTGTTGCGGTTTATATGGAACGTGCAATATATTAATACATTTTCACCATTCCAGGAAAAACGGCGTATCGTCCCCAAGTAAACGTATCTCTGCCTTCAACGAAAAAGAAAAAGAAGGCGAAAGTAAATAAAATGAAATTTTAAACGAAGATCGTAGGTCATTTACCTTCCATATCACAGGAAAGCCTTCAAATTAAAAAAAAAATAGTCAACATATCATAAGAATTTTATCAGACAATGCACATAGAGTAAGTAAACTCTC